TTCCTCGTGTTCCAGCAAATCATCAATGTTGTAATCTTGGTTCATTTTTTCCCAAATTGTTTGTGATTCTGCGCTTCCTAATGAACTCCCTTCCATGGCACAACTTTGATGCGAGAAACTTACGATCATATGTTTCAGGAGATCAATAGTTGGAATTTCGATAGTGTCTTTGATGGTAGACATCTCTTCTAAAAAAGACTGGTGTTCCTTATAATAGTCTATTGAGAAAGTACCAAACTGTCATTCAGAGTGAAAAGTCACGAAAACACAAAAAAATGATGCAATTCCCACCATAATCCTTCGCACGCAATTCGAAGGAACGAAAATAGTTTTCCCTGACTTTCCCTATCTACCAAGATCCAAATATTCCTTTGATCCCTTCTCGAATTGTGAAAAGGAAGGAGTGTAAATCTGCGAGAAAAGGAAAAAGTAAGTACATTTCTCAAACACATGGATTTACAAGGTAAAACGAAAGATACCTCTTTTAATAAAGCGTTCCTCTCCTTGCGTTGAGCTTCCGAAAAGACCGAAAGGTACCGAAAATTGTTGAAGACAGGCCGTCTCAAAATGGAAATAAGTGCTCTACGCGACATAATTTAGAGTGCGAAAGTATACCCTGTATACAAAATATATGTATAGTCTATATAGAAATCCGTCCTAGAACGAGATTAGGTTATATATTCTAGTACTTTGTTTAGGCACTCCACCGCAATAATTAGAGATATAATTAATGACATATTTCATATCATACCCAAGACGATTATTAAGTTTTTACATATTTAGTGATTATGTGGATTGTATGGGGATTTAATGATTATAAACCTATATCGATTAATAATAATAGCCAAGATAATGGGCCTTTAAATTAGATTTGATATTGAAATACATGATTCAAATTTAACGAGATTAGGTTCTAAAACTATTTCATAAGGTGATATATATTTTGTAGATTCGAGAGTGATATATAAAAAGAGAATGGGAGAAATACATATTCGAATATATAGGTACTCGAGTGTATAAATTCCAAATATAAAAAAGAATGATATTTCAGTTCGTGTCAAAAACATTCATAAATTATATTGGTAAATAGTTGTTCGAAAGAGTAAAGGTATTTTGTTCATTATTAATATCCAACAATTTTTTTATGCAATTTGCATATGCATAATTTAGTGATAGCTTGTGTAACTTAAATTTATTGAAAATAGTTAACTTGTCATGTGATATGTGTCATAGAAGGAATTCGAATGTAATAGATTATTTTTTTTGATATGCTATTTTTTTGATACTTTAAGCAAAGTTAAACTTGTTAGCTCCAAAAAACGATTGATTTTATCAGTTCAATCAAAGAAAAGAACGTGAAACTAAATTTAAGAAAAGGGAAAGTGGAAAGTATAATTGAAGGAGAAAAGGGTGATAGAACTGACAAGAAAAGGAAGGTCATTGGGTATCTTGAGGTTTAGCTGATAGATCGTTGTCTTCGTAATTCAAACATAGGGAGAAGAAATTATTATAAGAATCAGTAGAAGGATCAGTAGAAGCACTGTTGGATGAGGTTTCTAAAATGCGGGTAAAGATAAGGGTCAAAACGGAAAGCAAACTTTTTGTTGCTAATGGTGTAGCCGAGATAAAAAATGCAAAGGAAACGAAAAAAGCACCAATAGTGCAAACATATAATACTTTGAATATCATTATAACGGGTTTCTTTTTAAGGAATCGGAGAAACCAAAATAGCAACAAAATAATGTGAGCCCCCAAAAATGTAGCCGTAATAATTAAAAGATGCATGTAGTTATATATACGAGTTAGCCGGTGTTTGTTATAAAAATTCACATTCACCGCGTTATCAACAAAAATTAAGAGAAATAGGCTTAGTGAAATTATCAAAAGAGTCTCCAGAATAATGAATCGATGTTTGCCTGTATACCGTGATCTCAGAAAGTAGAAATCAAAAGCAACAAAGAGATAACCAAAAAGTATAATCATGCAAAATAAAGCGACAATAATAAAAAAAATAGTCAAGGCAGGGGATTCAACACACAAAGCAATAGTGTATGCAACAAGTAAACCTGGGATACCTCCAAGGATTATCACATCATCAATCAAATTGGGCAAAAGACCAATGGGATTGCGTTTAAAAGTGAAAATCAGACCGAGCGGGAGAAGAGCAGACACAATGAAATCCACAAGATCTTCATACAGTTCGTCATATGCAGGTTTGTAAGCGTCAACTCTAGGTATGAGAGTTGTAAAAAACCAGAGTACCGACAAATGTTTAACTGACAAAAACAAAACACTGCTTGTATGCTTGCGTGTTGGTATGTTAGACCGTTTTATTAGTGAGGTCATTTCGACGATTAACTGAATAGTGAAAGTGTTATCGGTAAAAAGAGGAGAGTTCCTATCACCTAAAGTAAAGGCCGTTTGCAAACTTCCACTGCCAGCGTGACTGTACCATATCTGTATACATAACACTACAGATCTGTGCGCCGTGAGCTACCATCTATTTCTAGCGTACAAAAGACAATAAGACGTTTCGCCAAACTGAAAGCGTAGTATGCGATGAGAATAGGAGAGATGCGTATTTGGGTGCGGTGAGGATTATGGTTCGTATCATTTTTTGTTGATGTGTGGAAAAAAAAGTAATGTATATAGAGTTCGAAGTGTTGGTATTTATAGACTATGTTCGCAAAGATAGCCCTCAATGAAATTCTGCTCCAGATATGCTATGGTCCCTGCATGCATAGCCGAGCTACATGTGCGTATTACAAGAATTAAATGTAACTGTACTACAAAAGTCATGCGACTGAAAATTTTTTCTGTCCCTTACAAACACTCTTCAAAAATGCTTTTCGCTCTGCTTTTTCGATAAGAATAAACACAAACGAAATGCAAATATGTTAAGAGAGAAAAGTTGTCGTTGACTTTCACTAGTGCTGAGGTCAAAGACTTCAAGCTATGGGGGAACGGATTCTCAACTTCCGAGATCGTCAGGAGTTTGTCAAGCTTCGTCTTGCACACGAGATCGCCAACCCAAAGAGGTAAATTTCCCCAACAATTGCGTAATATTTTCACGAGTCTCGTCTTTGGCATAACGGAACACCTTTAAAAGATAAGAGTTCGATCGATTTTCAGAATCGTACGACTGCTTCTTGGCAAATGACTAACGCAATATTATTTTTTCTTCTAGTAAATTCGAGTTCGAGTAATGAAATAAGCGGAGATTTCTGAGGCTTCACTTTGAATCAAAGATTCCCAGCTCCACAAGTTCCACAATTTTTAGCAAACTTTATTTCTCGCATAGTGTCAGATATGTATCTCATTAATTGTGAAGTCATAAGAAGTTGAATCTGGTAATATTAGTATGTCAGAGTAAAATTCTATTTACTGTGGGTCTTTACTCTCGACACAGACAGTTGCTCTCCACAAAATGTCCGACTCTGATAGCAAGAAAGCCGATGATGATGGTAAAAAGACATTCGATATTGAACTTCCTTATCGCCGATGACAATAAAGACAAAATCTTCTCCCTAACGGTCTCTAAGGGGAACAGGTTAACTCTTCGTTTTCCTTGATCCAAGCTCACTGTCCAGGTCAATATACTGATCCGAATGGATTGGCTTTACATTTGATCAATCAAATCACGCTTTAGCCAGTGACATAAGAGATAATAAGGAAAGACGGGGAGAATATGTGGCGCCACTCGGAAAATTTTCCCGTTATTTCCCTGTCTAGCCTGAAGAAAATCCATACGCTCAATATGATGGGGAAACAGGACTTGTTCATATCATCATATTACACTCCTCCCTACCCAAGAAAACGTACAACCTGCCTGCCCCTCACGCCGAGGAAGAAAAATGAATGGTTAGGATTTTTTTCGCGTGCATAGCATAATTCGTAGAGTTGCTCTAAAAGTCTATTTGTATTTGTTTTCACCTCCAAGACATTTTTTTCGTAAAATAATGTGATACGCGTTACCCACATTCTGTTAAACATATGATCATGAGGAATAAAACTAATTCTTAAAAATAAGTTGTCGCTTTTTTAACACTAGCTATTGACTTGACTTCACTCACAGTTCTAATTCCAAACCGTCTCTGAAATCTTCCTTATCCATCTTAAGACTGAACCATCGATTTTTCGACGTTGCCATAATCTTCTAAGTAATGGCGAAAAACGCTTCAGCAACATAATGTGTGTATTTGTTCGACACATGAGATTGCTTTTTAGCCTTCGGTTATATAAACTCTAATATCGACTCCCATGCTTATTTTTTTTTCAAACCTACAATGAATGCGTCTATCAGAAAACGAAAAAACGAGACGGTTGAGATTTCACGAGATACGGTCCAGCCAAACGCGTGCCGGAAGTCGTATTTCTGGCGTCACTAGTTAAGAAACTTTCGTGTTGATAAGGGGATTATTTGGGTTACTTGTTGCGAGTTTGCTTCGGCAAGTTGTGGGATTCAACACAGGCATAATCACCATTTTCTCTAATGGAGCTGGTGGCTCGGTGCCTTTGGCCCAGATAATTCATTCGTTCTACAAATTGCAATATTTTCAGCAAATGTTAATATTGGAATGAAAGTATAGGATCATCTTTTGAGGCAGTGCTTTGGGTCTGACCGCTTGTGTTTTAAACATGTTCTTTCATCAGTTTGATTCATATAAATTGCTACTTTTATATTGTTACAGTAGTAACAATAATTTTTTAATTCACAAAAAAGTCTCAAACTCCAAAAATAATATAAAAACAAAAAACTTCCAAAATAATCAAAAATAAAAAACAATTTATTAAATATTATTTAAAACTTCTTTTTGCAACTTACAACTTTCTTTATAACTTTTATATTATTAATTAGTCTTATTATAAAAATTTGTATTTGTGAATTATTTATAACTTTTATATTATTAACTAGTCTTATTATAAATATTTATATTTGTGAAAAATGTATAAATAGGAGTAATATCCAAAAAATAAATAATATAATAAACAAAATTTTTTTATCTTTTAATATTTTGTCTTTTACTCTTAATTATATATTTCAAAGCTTGTATATAAGTAGCTTTTAATAATATTAAATTTATCAAAATATTATTATTAGAATTTGTTTACTTATTAAAAATATTGTTATAATTAAAATATTTTATAATATAATTATTTATTGAAAATTTCTAAGTTGTATAAAATTTTTTAATATTAAAACAAATTAATTATCTTGAGTTTTTTTGAGTTAGTTTGAATTTTATTTTTTCAATAATATATTCAAAAAAAAATAGTTTTATATTAAAAAAAGAAATATTTTTCTGAATTAAGCTTTAATTTATATATTCTAAACTTTTCAAATATTTATTTTAAATGATTTAAATTATTTTGGATTTAATATTAATGTTAATAATATATTAAAAATATTTTAAAGTTCTAAATATTTCAAATTTTGAATTATTATTTAAGTTCTAAATAATTTAAATTCTAATTTAAAAATTTTTTGCAAATATTTGGTGCTAGATATTTTAGTTTGGCTTTCAATAATTTTCTTTATTAAATTTAGCAAGCAGTTTTTAATAAATTCAGTAACAAAAGAAAAAATAGTATTTACTATAAAATTTATTTAAAGTTATATTTTTAAACTTTGTGATATACTAGTAATTTTTTAACAACTAATAAAAAATTTTGAGCAATTTATTTTGAAAGTTGTAATAGTATATATAATAATAAATAACTATTTTTTTATCACATTATTAAATTTTTTATAATCAATACAAAAATATAATTTTGCATATTTTTATTATTAATAAAAATCACAAATTATTAGATAATTTAATTAATTTATTGTTAAATATTTATTGAATTTTTTTATAAATAATTTATTTTTGTAAAGATTTTATAAAATATTACTTAATTAATAAAGTATTTTTAGTATTTATAATATTTTTAAAGATATTTTTTCAAACTTATTTTTAATTTAAACAAATATATTATTATAATTTTTTATAAAATTATTAAATTAATTTTTTTGTTATAGAACTTGTTTTTATTTTTAATTTTTTTAATTAATGTTGTTGTATAATGACCTTTCGTCATAATATTTTATTGGATTATAAATATCTCATATATTATTGGATAAAGATTATAT